AAACAATAAAAAATGAGCATAAATACCGCCAACGTTAGTTCCGATATTGCCAAAGACGAAAGTCCTGAGCACAAGTGGTTTGGGACGGTAGACAAGACCAGTTTTTAGAAGGTGTCCATAATAATGAACATAACGTCTTTGACTTGGAATAGTCACACCTTTACCATTATTAGTTCGTTCCGAAGCATAGTGGTTTAGAGCTTCTTCGGAATCATGACAGACACCAGTGAAGAGAAGACAAGCGCATACCATTACGCCGGTTCTCCCCTATCAAATAACATAAGAAGTGAAGGACCAATAACAAAAAAGTTGTGAGACAAAAATAATATTAATAGCAAGAACAAAAGGCTTTAAGGAAACACAAGCAATTTGGCCTCCAGTTCTTTGTGTATAAACCTTGCTGTTTTTAATATTATCAATCAGCAATATTATAGCGAGCTATACTCTAGTAAAGTCAACCAAATTATCCATCCGCAAATAAAAGTATAATAGATTGTGATAGTGATAAAATGACGTCAATTAGGTCGTTCGATGCAATTAGTAGGATTTGGATCCCTTGTAATTGTTGCTCGAAAAGGTTTCAGGCAATACTCCTTAGTGAATTTTTTTCACAATAAGGCACAACGCAACAAACCGCATAAGCAACGTACCTTTCCAGCTTTGCAGTTTATTGCGACTATATTATTTTTATCTTCATCCAAAAAGCCTTTAACATCCTCACACAGAGCCATTATTTGCTCAAACTTGGGGGCATTGTGATCTCGGAAGGGATACTCAACTACTGGTCCCTTGAACTTGCCCTGAATAAACTCGCGTTCTTCACATCTAGAAAACATTTATACAATTGGGGAACCTACAAATGATATATTTTATAATGGCCATTATGTTTTTCTTCCATAAACCTAACGACATCAGCTATATCGTTCCTGTAAACTCTTTCCAAATTTGCAGCTGGATAACCCATGGCAATTATTCGGCTAGAAATATAGGAGAGATCTAGGTCAAACCCATCTCTTTTATATCGCTTTTTGCTTTTGCTAACAAGTTCTTTAATTAGCTTAACCATTCGTGTTTTAAGCAGCAAGAAGCGAGCCTTCCGCTCAATGTAGTGTATACTTCACTCTAATTCAAATATATTTTACACATTCGAATGACTTAGAGCGTCAATCAACGCCAAAATGATAAAGGACATGAAGAAACGGCAATGTCCCTAAGAACTCAAAGTGTTCGCGTGAATAACCTGTAGCTAACATTAGGGCAAAACCAGCACAAAAGTAAAGTAAATGTATCTTCTTATTAAAATTTTTTTTATGGTAAGCTTTCAACTTTATTAAAACTACGT